TTATCTTGAATAGTGATACAGTGACTATATAGTATACCCACGATGTAAATCTGACGATGATGATCTTTCTCTGTCTCTAGAGATACCGTTTTTGATATTTTTGGGTGTAAAAGTAGTGAAATGCACACAAGGTTCTACGCAAATTTTTAATTTCGGATTGGAGTTTGTTTGGTAAAAATATAAATCGTCRTTTTGCTACCTCCATTTTCGATATAATTAGTGTGACTTAAAATAGAACAGTGATCCCGGTTGTTAACTTTGTTCATTCTACGATTGACATTCTTACTTCAACTATACAATATTTTTTTTTGGCCTACAGAAGTTGTGTTATGTTGTTAGTTAAGCTGTACATTACTTGACTTCAGAAACTTGGTCTAGGTACTAACTTTGTGAATTCACCCAATAATCCTTTTGTTGTTTTGTATTTTCAAGGCAAGATTAAGTGRTCTGAAATATATTGCCATAACCATACAGACTTCAATAGTYCCGTGTTCAATGGTGCTCCACCAATGCGTAGCATTTTATTAAATTAAATAAGAAACACTGGTGGTTTTCTATCACTTAGTTCCACATAACTGAGTAATTTTCTCAAATTTTTCTCTTTATTCTCCGTGTACCTATAATAAATCAAACATCAATTAAACGTGAGTAACATATTTCTCAGTTGCTTGAGGTGTTTATATGATATTTGAAACTGCGTCATTATTTCTATGTCAAAATCACCAATTATGAGATAATACTTTGAGCTGTCGTTTGAAATTCCAGACAAAGCGAATTGTGCTTGAATCTGACGGAGCCATATTGCCAAATCAACTTTCCAAAATTATGGTCGTCATATTTTAAAACGGTTCACCGTGATCAATGGCGGGTTCAGCGGAAGGGCACAGAGGCACGTGGCTCCTGTCAATTTTCTACCGAACATTTTTTTTTATGTAACTACGAGTATCATATAAATGAAAAATGCAGTTAGGTAATAAGAATAATATTACAACTATATTAATTATTATAATTTATAATTTATAATCATTATATGCATTCAAACTGATAAAACATGATTTACAGCTTTGTCTGGTCGACACCTATTTATAATTACAACCATTATTGATTTAATTAAAATGTATAATCATACAAATTATCAATATCACAAATACTAACTAGATTAAGTAAATATGTATGAAATAATATTTGGTATTAAGTCTTAGTATATACTCACGCGGTACAAACATTGTCTTTTTCGTAACATAAAAAAATCGAACACATAATGTGWGACTGGTAACTCACACTCGGTATATATACAGTGTACACACACAAATGCGTTCTGGGTTACTCTAACATCCAAAACACGCACGCACAAAAAAAATCATTTACTTTAACTGGTAAAAATACAAAAACTTGCTCTGRGTTACACTACCTGAAATGTTACACAATTTTCACACTTCACTTGTACAAAAAAAAAATGTGTGCTAAGAGAATTCAGTGGTGGTGTGATAGGGTATTTTATCAAATTACCCTTTATTACAATTGTCTCACCACCGATTAGGTGGTAGTACCCCTTGGGATGGATATAACAATTACATACCTATGGTTACTATTTACTAACATATTTTTTATAGTATATAATAACGTGGTATTGTGGTAATACTAAGGTGGATTGATTAAGTTAAGGAAACCAGAAAATATTTAAACAAACCAATTTTTTGGTTTATCAAGATGAAAATAATATTGATCGGTTTTTAATTTTCTACATTTACCTATATTAAAAAAAAATTCTATAGACTCCTACATTCGTTTGATTATTAGTCACATCACTTGRCTCCGTATTTGAATGTTTGTTGTTGTTTATATGGATTCATGGATAGCAAAATAACAATAGATATATTAATAAAATATACGAKGTGCATATAAGTAATTTTATTATTTTCTGGTCCTAGTGATATTAACATGAAAAAGTGTATTATTGTTGTAGAATTGTGAATTGGGGGTGTGGTGGCAAAGCCCTCCATGGTCTGTGCTATAAAATTTAGGTTGTGGTGGTCGAACATCTATATTTGCCTCGTGAAATAAAATAGTTCACGCCGCCACTGAGAGAATTTAACCTAGACCGTGGTAGACCACACCACACGTAAAAACTGTTGTACTTTTCATACATAAATACTTCGAAAAARTTGTCAAGGTTAAGGTGACATGGCTCAAACGCATAAAATTTCTTCGACCGTGAATATGTTACCCCGTTGGGCTTATATTACAACATCGTTGCGGTAACATCAAAATATAATGGAACCGATTGCACAAAGTCTTCCGACCGTAATTGTTCATTCTGACGAGAGGACAAAAAAAAATTAACCATCCAAAATAAGATATTTGTAAAGTTTACACAAAGTTATCAATAAAAAGAACAGAAACAAACAAACAAAAACACAATTATTAAAAAAAATTCGGATAGTGATTAGTGGATTACGAATGACGCTGGTCGCCACTTTTCCGTATAATATGCCGATTAATTTCAACGCATACAAATTAATGTACAAAACATATAATCAGCACCTTTAATAAAAACTCATGTCGAATGGTGACCGAGTCACACGATCGCCACCACTACACTGTCGCTACATTTTTCTTGTACTATCATTTATATATTATTGCTTAACCTAGTTTGTTTTTTTCTATATCTGCTAAAACTTACTGTCTAAGACTTAATTACAAATATTACTTCATATATGTTTACCTAAACTAGTTAATATTTTTAATATTAATAATTTTTTGATTATACAAGATACAACAGTGCCACCCCCTTATCAAAATATCGTAGATCCACCCCTGACCAAGATCGTATTTTATGTTATGGTTTCAATGAGAGATGAATAATAAAGAAAATATAAATTTATTTATTTCTAGGAAAACCAATCTTCTCTATTCAGGAGTGTTTTTTAATACATTTTGAAATAATTTAGGTATACAATTGACGGGATCACAAAAAAATATTATTCAATACCATTTTTTTATATTATTCWAAATTTAACTTAAAAAGGTCAATAAATCAATGAATATTTCCAAATAATAGGATGTCTACTGTACAGAAAAAAAAATAAAAACCGCAGTAGAGATAAGACAAGTAATACTAAATTAATATATATTATATTTATTTTATAATAGTATAAATACCTACTTATATAGGTAATACTAATGGAAATATCAAAAAAATAAAATAATAAGTACCTAGTTTATATTATGGTTTCAGTTTATACATTTTATAATCATTAAGAAAACTTGGTTTATGTAAATATGCATCTACATATATTATTATACATGTACTAAGATAATAAGATTAATTTAAAGAATAAATTATTTAAAAAAATAGTAATTTATAAAAAAAAAAAACCCATTAGGATTATTTGAATATTGTATTCAATGTGAAGAATTACATTAATTTTGTAATTAAATTAATTTTCGTAAACAATCAAGACTTTTTATTTATAGTATAAAATCATATAAAGACCTTTATATCTATATAGTTTTAAATGTACCTAACAAACAAGTTTTATTTATTTTACTTTAAACATTTACAAAATGACAAATCAAATTTTATTTTGATAAAATACATCTAAAAAATATACTCCACTTTGAGGAACATTTTGTACATATCAATTAACTCAGTTTGCTATTGCCATGTTTTACCTATGGTTTATAAAAATGTTTTATTTATATTGAAATATGAAAATAAATAAGTTTTATTGTGATCTAAATGTAAAATCCCAGATAGTTTTAATATGATATGTTCTCAGAAAATATATAATTTCATAATATACATACCTAGTGTGAATCATAATGCAAAATATCAGATAAAATAGATATGATCATTTTTAAAATTAATTATTGGATTAATCATTGAAGTATTAGTCTATTAAATGTTCAATTTTAYTTTATTTTTTCAAAAAATTGCATACATAGGTAGTATTATAAATATTATTAAATTGATAAATTAAAACATAAAAATCTGTTTATTAATATCAATAAAAAATATTGATAAAATATGCTAATAAATCCATGGTGTATGAATAAAGGTATGTTAAAAATAATAAATCAAAGCGCTGAAGCACTTGAAATTTTACTTTTATGTGTCCCAAAACATTGTTACAGCTTTAAATCAAACAAGATAAAGTGTAAAAAAATAAATTAATAACGATTTGGATTGTAAAAGAGTTTAAACTTTAAATAGAATTATTCTTGAATTGGAGAACATTATTATAATATTAAGTAGGTATTACAAAATACATAGAATACGTAAAGTATTAAACTAATGGTATGAAATTACTATTACCACTCCAGTATATATGATTAAAAGCGTAAAAATAAATACAGTTAACAAACGTATACATGAATAAATTATTAGCATTAAAACTGTGTAACACTATAATGTTATTTAATAATGTTTGAATACTTTAAAATTATGATTTTATATTCCCTACTGGATACTTTTCCAACTGCTTACATATAGATAATGTCTATAACATATTATTAACTAATTTTTTCCATGTTAGTTCATAATTTTACAGATTTAACTTATAAGTTATACGTATGATAACAATTAACAATATTTAAAGTTTTAAATAAATCAAATTCATCATAGTTTCCAATACTTTTATTTTGATAATGATATAATAATAATAATAATAATAATAATAATAATATAATATAATATATATATTTAATAATAGGTAGTCATAATACTATAATATTAACGTTACGTTTATTTTTCACTCCAATAACAATATAACATGAATAATGCACGTCAGTAATCCTATCATGTGCTATTGGTACACTCTATGTCATCCTCCTCTTCATCAATATTGTAATTAATGAAGAAGTAATAACAAATCGTACACAATGCACAGCAATGGATTTTAAATTTTGACTGTGCTTTGCATACACACACACACACACACGCACACGCACACGTAAAAAAAAAATAATAATCCCAAATTAGTTAAGAATTGTTTGTACTTTACATAAAAACAGAGATATTAAAAAAAAAAAAATAACACGTTTATTGACTATTCTACGATTGTGTATGATCGAATCATCCTCGTAATAACAAAAGGTGTTCTAATTCATCAGCGGAACGCAATAGAAAAGCCGCTGATTCCCTATAGCCAGCGATGAGCTGCCTTACAGTTACCACGTCGGCTTTGTTCAAAAGTTTACTGCTTGGTTGTACAGGTGGTGTTGTTTGATTAAGCATCGAGGGTTGTATTGGAAGTGTGGGAGTACTACCACTAGAGATACTGGTCGTCGTGTTCATAGTTGGAAACAGCTGCAGCATACCAGTAGCTGAAGATGAGTTGTTACTGCTGATTCGACGATGATTGACTGTTGTAGTTGATGTGGTTGTAGAGAGACCTCTAAAACCAGAACCACTCATATATCCACCTCCTGTAGGTGCTGGCGGAATAGCAGTTACAGTACTAGTACCCATATTGTGGGTCAAGGCAGAAGAAGTTTTATTAACACTGAGGTCGGTTGGTCCAGCAGTTTCTATGGAAATTATTCAAAAAAAAAAAAAAATACATCATTAAACGAGTTAGCACACACATTTTACTTTGAGCAACCTATTGTATTTCAGCGACTTAATTTAACAACTTATATGTTACCCGGTATAGATAATGTAACCACAATTCAATATTTTCTTTAACATACCATTATTATTAGGAGATGAAGATGTAACGCTAGCTCCACAAGTCACAACTGATAAGTTCAATTCATCATTAACGGTGTTTGACATATTTGCGGAATCACCTCCAGAACCGCCTTCAATAGATTCGTCATTCTCTCGACGGTCACAACCATCTCGGTTTTCAGCATCGTCGTTACTATTGCGATGCTCAGTGTCAGCTTCAATAACATTAGTGGACGTTTTTTCAAAACTACTGTCACCTCCACCGGCGTCTTCGTCTGATGACGTCGATGACATTTGCAATGTGGCTCCACCACTACCGTTTTGGTTCAATTGTAGAGAACCAGCCGGTTGTTGAAATACATTAGATGCTGAACTTGAGGCAACTGAATATGGATAAGGCTGTGCAACGGGTTCAAGACCAAGGCGCATTCGTCGGGCATTATCTGACTCACGCTGACAAGCTACTGCTAATATAGTTTCAGCCTGGGCACTTGTTAAATGGGCAGGTGTGGGTCTTTGCTATATAATGAATATTGTAAAAAYAGTATAAATAACAAATTAATGGTATTTATTGTTGAAAACTCAAAAGTACATACCGGCTGCACTGTTGGATCAGAAGAAGAACCATTTGCTGGCCATGGATTAGTGGGTGGAGGAGGCGATGATGAAACAACACCGCCAGATTGTGGTGTGTTTCGCTTATTGCGACGACATGATTTTAAATAGGTTCTGATGCGTTTACGTGACCTATCTGAAAGTTCAGGAAACTGACGTCCACAAGAGTCAATAATCGCCTGTACCTTATCTTTGGGTTGTCTGCTAATAGGTACCTGTCTGTCTAAATTTTCATCCACAAATAACCGGACAAACATCTATAATTTGAAAATAATTCAATAATAAATTAATAAAACTTATAATTTATCTTTAGTATAAAAAACTACTCACGTTGAATGCTTTTAAACGTTCAGGATCTATATGATRTTGAGAAGACGTTCCGATAGAATGCTGATGTTGCTGTTGTGATAGAGAGTTGGCAGAAGTTGTGGTAGTAGAAGGTTGTTGCCAATGTTGGCGGTAGCTTGTAGTAATGCCAGAATCAGTGCCGTCACTTGTGTTGTTATTTCCGTTAGCAGCACGTTGTAGTTGTCGTAAACGTCTGACTTGTTGCCTGCGCAATCGCCGCGTTTGTGCACCATTTCCATCACCACCATCTGCATTCCTTTCTCCTTCTTCTTCATCAGCATCTTCTTCCCCTTCTTCGATATCGTCATCATCAAGGTCCTCCTCTTCTTCTTCTTCGTCTTCTTCATCTTCTTCATCTTCCTCGTCATCAATTGCTGTGTCATCTTCATCTGCGTTYATTACATTCTCCCCACCAGTTCCGATTCCAATATCGTTACCAGTAACACTTGTACCATTGGTGGTAGTTACTATTATACCATTTGTTTCTTTAGACGGTAGTCGATATGAAGACGAAGGAGATGATATTGGTGGTGGTGGCAATGCTGGTAGAACTTGTGATCCAGCTGTAACTGTGGCCATAGAATTAACCGACGAACCAAAAAGTTGTTGAAATTTTGGAGGCGATGTCATACTGTGATGATGCTGCTGATGTGCTGCAGTAAGGAGTCCCAAAGGTGGCCAAAGCACAGTCGTCGTAGTAGTTGGAAGTCCCGAAGTCGAAAAGCTGCTGTTTTCATGCAAACCAGTACCACTTGTAGTTGTATCAGCGTCATTTTCTAAATAACAAAATAAAGTTAATTTAAAAACATTAAATTAATCAATATTAAGAACTGTATCAGATTATTATTAAGTGTCTCTTATTAATAGTAAATAACTTACTGGAATTTAATAGTCTTGGTGAAGGTGATGATGTAGTAGAGGACGTAGGAGTTCCACTTCTACGGTATAATTGTTGTTGTACCGTCAAGCCAGTACCACTGGTATTTCGACGTTTATTCGTACCACTTATGTTATTATTTTGGCTGTAGTGATGTGCCATTGGAGGTAAAGATAGCGGCAAATTTGGGGGTGGTGATGTCGAATCACCTGCTGAAGATGCGGCAGCCGCAGCTGCGGCTGCTGCTGTAGCTGCAGCAACAGCAGCCGCTGCATACTGTTGTAACTGCTGTTGGATGTGCTGGTGATGATGGTGATGCGCAGGTGTTAACCCAATACCCGCAGCTGAATGAGGTGGCATAGCGAGCGGTGTCAGTGGCGACAAAGTGTGGTGATGGGCAAGATGCGAGTTGGGGTGTAAGGATGACAATGGTCCACCTGGTGATATACCACTGCCGACGGACGACGGAGGGCTAAAGAGCARAGCAGCAGCAGCCGCGGCTGCAGCGGCCGCCATAGAGTTGTCATCCGCCGATCCATCCACATCCATCATATTAGTGTTATTTACAGAATCGTTTGCCATGTCTAACCAATGGCGGTGGAAATTATGATGACTATTACTACTAGTGGTAATTGTGTCCAATGACTTCTGAAAATATAATAATGTGTAATTTTATAATATATATTTTAAATTCAAGTTAAATTGTCAGGTTGGTTTAATTTTGACATGAATTTAATCATTGAAGCATATTGAGTTTCATTCTAAATTTTCAAATATAATTTTACGAATCAATGCTTCTTCTTCAAAATAAATTATGGAAATAATTTATTGAATACAAATATTTTTTAAATATAATAATTAGTTTATTTTATAAATAAAATATATTTTGTTAGTACCGAAAGTGATGATGCTGATGAAGACGTTGCAAGGCCATTCATGATACTCCTGGATGTATGATGCATATTATAAGGATGGTGACCATTCCCATTAATCCTTTTGTTTATAGGCGAATGCAGAGCTGCACTCTTTTCCTAAAAAAAACATGTTATTAATTCACAATTTCATTAAATTAATCAACATTTTACAAAAACTGTACCTATATATAGTTAAATAAACAATAATTAGGTACTCAAATTATAATTATTAGATATGTAATACGAAAAATATTCTTAGTATAGGCTCTTTATTGTATTTTAGGACTGAWAACAATAAAAAAAAATGATTATGATTGATTAAGGTCATTTTCAATGTTAAATGTAATTATTAACATTTTTTCACAATACTCCAAGATAAACTTGAATAGTTAAATAGTTTCATTTTAGTTTTATACAGTAGAACCTATATTGTTTACAACTTATAATTACCAAATGAATATCATTTTATAGATTTTTTACTCCAGAAATTAGTTTTATTCATTCGATTTGTTAGCTATATTACGGCTTATAAAGTTATAACTAATAATTACATCAACCATAGATTTTCAAAAACCTTAATAATATGCTAGTTACTAACGCGACACTTATGATAAAAAAATACATTAATTCCCCTGGTAGATATCACTTTWATTGTGTTTTTGTTTGACATTTAATTTATTCATCTAATTACTATGTAGGYACAGTGATAAATTTATTGTGAGACATACATTATTTTAGTAAAAATACATATTTTTGACTGTTTTTTATCGTTAGTGTCGTATGCAAATTATACATATATTATAACTACTTAACCACAATTATTATTGATGTACTTATTTTATTTTACGAAGTTTTTTTTGAGAAATAAAATATTTAACAGTCAAACGAAAATAATAATAATAAAAGTACTTAAAATAATAATGAATATTTATTTAGCAGTTTTAAAATTATTTACATAATATTAACATTTTAGAGTTACACTACAACGTCTAACATTAAGGATGTTTTTTKGTTTTACGCATTGAGCGAACGTACCGGCCGCAGGCGCTAGCTCCCGGATGGGTGACCACCCGTAATTTTTAACAACACATCTCTGCCACACATACACAAAATACGTGTTACAACCTACCAACTTAAAAACCTACAAATAAATACACAAAATAACCTCTAACTTACCACCCCAAACCCAATGGCCTATATCGCCGTGGATTCCCCTAATAAATATATATAAAAATATATATCTTTTGTTGAGTGAACTCAGAAACAAAATACTATGTAGTCTAAAATAATAAGTAACTTTGTATGGTATAAAGGTATTTTCCTAGAATAAAGTACTCTCAAGAAAAATATAAGGATTCAAGTTCTAAATAAATTAATGTTTTAATCAAATATCCTAGGTAGGTATCTGTTTTTAAATGAATTACTCACATGACTTGATGATATCCTCTTACTAGTTAGTGTAAATTGACCTATCATCAGATTTATAGGTAGGAATATTATCCAGGACCCACTTAGGTATAGAACTTTGAAGTAAATTATGAATTTATGAGTTTTATAGGTAATTTAAATTCCTTTATAAATAACTTACAACCTAAAATGAACGCACATCATTATATAATTTATAAGTAATAGGGATCAGATATATTAATCTAAATTTAAATAAAAAAACAAATGTTAAGTAATTTTCATTTTTAGTAAAATGATTAAAACTAATCCATTTTTTTATGGTAAAGTTATGATTAATAATTCAGTAAGATTTCATTATTTTAAATCGACGACTAAGATAATCATTTTACTTCTGCATAATTTTTGGTATTTGTTTTTCAATTTAATATTGAATAATATTGTAAATTTGTATAAAATATCTGTATGAATTATCAACTCATTTTTTCGATGCGATAATATTATAGCCTTTCCGTACCTGTAGGTCAATTAAGTAAATATATATTATTATTATTCGTTCGTGAGTAACGATATTAAAAAAATATATAAAGTAGAAACTGAATCGTATATATGTGACAAAAACCTACAATACGCCAAGGTAATTAAAATATACATAGAAAAATAAAACTTCAATATGTTTTAAATAGGTGTATAAAAATTATAAAGTAGATATTATGTTCATTATTCTCTAGAAAGTTGAAACGTAGAGAACGTTAGTTAAGAAATACAATTATTAAAGCACAACTTAAAATCACTGATATGTGTTTATTTTAGCAAATGTCTGTAACTTATTCATGTGAATATTAAGTTCATAAGTGGCATTTGTGGTGTATAGTAAATGATAATATTCGACAATGCATAAAGGCATTCACGTATTCTATCAAGTACCTACTTATATTTTTATAATACGATTATTGGAACAACCTAGTCATTAAATGTACTCAAGTTTTGTAAGGGGATGGGGTGTCTAGTATATATAGCACGGTTTATAAAAATTAAACACTTAACAGGATTTTGTTTTGATTGAGGGAAAATCGTATTTGATTGTTAAAAATAATTCTAAAATTTAAAGATTATCATTCAATTTTCCTGAGATTTGATTAAATTTTTTTTTAATTTCAGATTGTTAGGGTATTTATTCCTCTACACGCTAATACAACTTACRGAGATTAGATAAATGTGTTGTCTTTGATATTTACAAACTTGCGTTTGTCTAATAACACCTACCTACGTATTTTTCACATAGAAAAGCCAATAAAATATAAAATATAATTTTTAAATTGTTTAGGAATAATTTAGAATACGATTTAATTAATCTATTTGAGCATATACGTAAACTACACTAATTCAGATAAGATACAAAGACGGTGGCATGTCACTTTTCCCGCTTCATGTTAACAATGTTATTTTATGTTATTTTGATTTCAAAACAATATACAATTGTACTTATATAATATCATCACATATCACATTAACGATTCTTAGTTGAGCTCATACAAAATCTCATCGCTGACATTTCGTAAAAGCCACGTTTATTGTTGACAACATATTCGACGATTTTCNTTTTTTTCTATATCTGCTAAAACTTACTGTCTAAGACTTAATTACAAATATTACTTCATATATGTTTACCTAAACTAGTTAATATTTTTAATATTAATAATTTTTTGATTATACAAGATACAACAGTGCCACCCCCTTATCAAAATATCGTAGATCCACCCCTGACCAAGATCGTATTTTATGTTATGGTTTCAATGAGAGATGAATAATAAAGAAAATATAAATTTATTTATTTCTAGGAAAACCAATCTTCTCTATTCAGGAGTGTTTTTTAATACATTTTGAAATAATTTAGGTATACAATTGACGGGATCACAAAAAAATATTATTCAATACCATTTTTTTATATTATTCWAAATTTAACTTAAAAAGGTCAATAAATCAATGAATATTTCCAAATAATAGGATGTCTACTGTACAGAAAAAAAAATAAAAACCGCAGTAGAGATAAGACAAGTAATACTAAATTAATATATATTATATTTATTTTATAATAGTATAAATACCTACTTATATAGGTAATACTAATGGAAATATCAAAAAAATAAAATAATAAGTACCTAGTTTATATTATGGTTTCAGTTTATACATTTTATAATCATTAAGAAAACTTGGTTTATGTAAATATGCATCTACATATATTATTATACATGTACTAAGATAATAAGATTAATTTAAAGAATAAATTATTTAAAAAAATAGTAATTTATAAAAAAAAAAACCCCATTAGGATTATTTGAATATTGTATTCAATGTGAAGAATTACATTAATTTTGTAATTAAATTAATTTTCGTAAACAWTCAAGACTTTTTATTTATAGTATAAAATCATATAAAGACCTTTATATCTATATAGTTTTAAATGTACCTAACAAACAAGTTTTATTTATTTTACTTTAAACATTTACAAAATGACAAATCAAATAAATTTTATTTTGATAAAATACATCTAAAAAATATACTCCACTTTGAGGAACATTTTGTACATATCAATTAACTCAGTTTGCTATTGCCATGTTTTACCTATGGTTTATAAAAATGTTTTATTTATATTGAAATATGAAAATAAATAAGTTTTATTGTGATCTAAATGTAAAATCCCAGATAGTTTTAATATGATATGTTCTCAGAAAATATATAATTTCATAATATACATACCTAGTGTGAATCATAATGCAAAATATCAGATAAAATAGATATGATCATTTTTAAAATTAATTATTGGATTAATCATTGAAGTATTAGTCTATTAAATGTTCAATTTTAYTTTATTTTTTCAAAAAATTGCATACATAGGTAGTATTATAAATATTATTAAATTGATAAATTAAAACATAAAAATCTGTTTATTAATATCAATAAAAAATATTGATAAAATATGCTAATAAATCCATGGTGTATGAATAAAGGTATGTTAAAAATAATAAATCAAAGCGCTGAAGCACTTGAAATTTTACTTTTATGTGTCCCAAAACATTGTTACAGCTTTAAATCAAACAAGATAAAGTGTAAAAAAATAAATTAATAACGATTTGGATTGTAAAAGAGTTTAAACTTTAAATAGAATTATTCTTGAATTGGAGAACATTATTATAATATTAAGTAGGTATTACAAAATACATAGAATACGTAAAGTATTAAACTAATGGTATGAAATTACTATTACCACTCCAGTATATATGATTAAAAGCGTAAAAATAAATACAGTTAACAAACGTATACATGAATAAATTATTAGCATTAAAACTGTGTAACACTATAATGTTATTTAATAATGTTTGAATACTTTAAAATTATGATTTTATATTCCCTACTGGATACTTTTCCAACTGCTTACATATAGATAATGTCTATAACATATTATTAACTAATTTTTTCCATGTTAGTTCATAATTTTACAGATTTAACTTATAAGTTATACGTATGATAACAATTAACAATATTTAAAGTTTTAAATAAATCAAATTCATCATAGTTTCCAATACTTTTATTTTGATAATGATATAATAATAATAATAATAATAATAATAATAATATAATATAATATATATATTTAATAATAGGTAGTCATAATACTATAATATTAACGTTACGTTTATTTTTCACTCCAATAACAATATAACATGAATAATGCACGTCAGTAATCCTATCATGTGCTATTGGTACACTCTATGTCATCCTCCTCTTCATCAATATTGTAATTAATGAAGAAGTAATAACAAATCGTACACAATGCACAGCAATGGATTTTAAATTTTGACTGTGCTTTGCATACACACACACACACACACGCACACGCACACGTAAAAAAAAAATAATAATCCCAAATTAGTTAAGAATTGTTTGTACTTTACATAAAAACAGAGATATTAAAAAAAAAAAAATAACACGTTTATTGACTATTCTACGATTGTGTATGATCGAATCATCCTCGTAATAACAAAAGGTGTTCTAATTCATCAGCGGAACGCAATAGAAAAGCCGCTGATTCCCTATAGCCAGCGATGAGCTGCCTTACAGTTACCACGTCGGCTTTGTTCAAAAGTTTACTGCTTGGTTGTACAGGTGGTGTTGTTTGATTAAGCATCGAGGGTTGTATTGGAAGTGTGGGAGTACTACCACTAGAGATACTGGTCGTCGTGTTCATAGTTGGAAACAGCTGCAGCATACCAGTAGCTGAAGATGAGTTGTTACTGCTGATTCGACGATGATTGACTGTTGTAGTTGATGTGGTTGTAGAGAGACCTCTAAAACCAGAACCACTCATATATCCACCTCCTGTAGGTGCTGGCGGAATAGCAGTTACAGTACTAGTACCCATATTGTGGGTCAAGGCAGAAGAAGTTTTATTAACACTGAGGTCGGTTGGTCCAGCAGTTTCTATGGAAATTATTCAAAAAAAAAAAAAAATACATCATTAAACGAGTTAGCACACACATTTTACTTTGAGCAACCTATTGTATTTCAGCGACTTAATTTAACAACTTATATGTTACCCGGTATAGATAATGTAACCACAATTCAATATTTTCTTTAACATACCATTATTATTAGGAGATGAAGATGTAACGCTAGCTCCACAAGTCACAACTGATAAGTTCAATTCATCATTAACGGTGTTTGACATATTTGCGGAATCACCTCCAGAACCGCCTTCAATAGATTCGTCATTCTCTCGACGGTCACAACCATCTCGGTTTTCAGCATCGTCGTTACTATTGCGATGCTCAGTGTCAGCTTCAATAACATTAGTGGACGTTTTTTCAAAACTACTGTCACCTCCACCGGCGTCTTCGTCTGATGACGTCGATGACATTTGCAATGTGGCTCCACCACTACCGTTTTGGTTCAATTGTAGAGAACCAGCCGGTTGTTGAAATACATTAGATGCTGAACTTGAGGCAACTGAATATGGATAAGGCTGTGCAACGGGTTCAAGACCAAGGCGCATTCGTCGGGCATTATCTGACTCACGCTGACAAGCTACTGCTAATATAGTTTCAGCCTGGGCACTTGTTAAATGGGCAGGTGTGGGTCTTTGCTATATAATGAATATTGTAAAAAYAGTATAAATAACAAATTAATGGTATTTATTGTTGAAAACTCAAAAGTACATACCGGCTGCACTGTTGGATCAGAAGAAGAACCATTTGCTGGCCATGGATTAGTGGGTGGAGGAGGCGATGATGAAACAACACCGCCAGATTGTGGTGTGTTTCGCTTATTGCGACGACATGATTTTAAATAGGTTCTGATGCGTTTACGTGACCTATCTGAAAGTTCAGGAAACTGACGTCCACAAGAGTCAATAATCGCCTGTACCTTATCTTTGGGTTGTCTGCTAATAGGTACCTGTCTGTCTAAATTTTCATCCACAAATAACCGGACAAACATCTATAATTTGAAAATAATTCAATAATAAATTAATAAAACTTATAATTTATCTTTAGTATAAAAAACTACTCACGTTGAATGCTTTTAAACGTTCAGGATCTATATGATRTTGAGAAGACGTTCCGATAGAATGCTGATGTTGCTGTTGTGATAGAGAGTTGGCAGAAGTTGTGGTAGTAGAAGGTTGTTGCCAATGTTGGCGGTAGCTTGTAGTAATGCCAGAATCAGTGCCGTCACTTGTGTTGTTATTTCCGTTAGCAGCACGTTGTAGTTGTCGTAAACGTCTGACTTGTTGCCTGCGCAATCGCCGCGTTTGTGCACCATTTCCATCACCACCATCTGCATTCCTTTCTCCTTCTTCTTCATCAGCATCTTCTTCCCCTTCTTCGATATCGTCATCATCAAGGTCCTCCTCTTCTTCTTCTTCGTCTTCTTCATCTTCTTCATCTTCCTCGTCATCAATTGCTGTGTCATCTTCATCTGCGTTYATTACATTCTCCCCACCAGTTCCGATTCCAATATCGTTACCAGTAACACTTGTACCATTGGTGGTAGTTACTATTATACCATTTGTTTCTTTAGACGGTAGTCGATATGAAGACGAAGGAGATGATATTGGTGGTGGTGGCAATGCTGGTAGAACTTGTGATCCAGCTGTAACTGTGGCCATAGAATTAACCGACGAACCAAAAAGTTGTTGAAATTTTGGAGGCGATGTCATACTGTGATGATGCTGCTGATGTGCTGCAGTAAGGAGTCCCAAAGGTGGCCAAAGCACAGTCGTCGTAGTAGTTGGAAGTCCCGAAGTCGAAAAGCTGCTGTTTTCATGCAAACCAGTACCACTTGTAGTTGTATCAGCGTCATTTTCTAAATAACAAAATAAAGTTAATTTAAAAACATTAAATTAATCAATATTAAGAACTGTATCAGATTATTATTAAGTGTCTCTTATTAATAGTAAATAACTTACTGGAATTTAATAGTCTTGGTGAAGGTGATGATGTAGTAGAGGACGTAGGAGTTCCACTTCTACGGTATAATTGTTGTTGTACCGTCAAGCCAGTACCACTGGTATTTCGACGTTTATTCGTACCACTTATGTTATTATTTTGGCTGTAGTGATGTGCCATTGGAGGTAAAGATAGCGGCAAATTTGGGGGTGGTGATGTCGAATCACCTGCTGAAGATGCGGCAGCCGCAGCTGCGGCTGCTGCTGTAGCTGCAGCAACAGCAGCCGCTGCATACTGTTGTAACTGCTGTTGGATGTGCTGGTGATGATGGTGATGCGCAGGTGTTAACCCAATACCCGCAGCTGAATGAGGTGGCATAGCGAGCGGTGTCAGTGGCGACAAAGTGTGGTGATGGGCAAGATGCGAGTTGGGGTGTAAGGATGACAATGGTCCACCTGGTGATATACCACTGCCGACGGACGACGGAGGGCTAAAGAGCARAGCAGCAGCAGCCGCGGCTGCAGCGGCCGCCATAGAGTTGTCATCCGCCGATCCATCCACATCCATCATATTAGTGTTATTTACAGAATCGTTTGCCATGTCTAACCAATGGCGGTGGAAATTATGATGACTATTACTACTAGTGGTAATTGTGTCCAATGACTTCTGAAAATATAATAATGTGTAATTTTATAATATATATTTTAAATTCAAGTTAAATTGTCAGGTTGGTTTAATTTTGACATGAATTTAATCATTGAAGCATATTGAGTTTCATTCTAAATTTTCAAATATAATTTTACGAATCAATGCTTCTTCTTCAAAATAAATTATGGAAATAATTTATTGAATACAAATATTTTTTAAATATAATAATTAGTTTATTTTATAAATAAAATATATTTTGTTAGTACCGAAAGTGATGATGCTGATGAAGACGTTGCAAGGCCATTCATGATACTCCTGGATGTATGATGCATATTATAAGGATGGTGACCATTCCCATTAATCCTTTTGTTTATAGGCGAATGCAGAGCTGCACTCTTTTCCTAAAAAAAACATGTTATTAATTCACAATTTCATTAAATTAATCAACATTTTACAAAAACTGTACCTATATATAGTTAAATAAACAATAATTAGGTACTCAAATTATAATTATTAGATATGTAATACGAAAAATATTCTTAGTATAGGCTCTTTATTGTATTTTAGGACTGAWAACAATAAAAAAAAATGATTATGATTGATTAAGGTCATTTTCAATGTTAAATGTAATTATTAACATTTTTTCACAATACTCCAAGATAAACTTGAATAGTTAAATAGTTTCATTTTAGTTTTATACAGTAGAACCTATATTGTTTACAACTTATAATTACCAAATGAATATCATTTTATAGATTTTTTACTCCAGAAATTAGTTTTATTCATTCGATTTGTTAGCTATATTACGGCTTATAAAGTTATAACTAATAATTACATCAACCATAGATTTTCAAAAACCTTAATAATATGCTAGTTACTAACGCGACACTTATGATAAAAAAATACATTAATTCCCCTGGTAGATATCACTTTWATTGTGTTTTTGTTTGACATTTAATTTATTCATCTAATTACTATGTAGGYACAGTGATAAATTTATTGTGAGACATACATTATTTTAGTAAAAATACATATTTTTGACTGTTTTTTATCGTTAGTGTCGTATGCAAATTATACATATATTATAACTACTTAACCACAATTATTATTGATGTACTTATTTTATTTTACGAAGTTTTTTTTGAGAAATAAAATATTTAACAGTCAAACGAAAATAATAATAATAAAAGTACTTAAAATAATAATGAATATTTATTTAGCAGTTTTAAAATTATTTACATAATATTAACATTTTAGAGTTACACTACAACGTCTAACATTAAGGATGTTTTTTKGTTTTACGCATTGAGCGAACGTACCGGCCGCAGGCGCTAGCTCCCGGATGGGTGACCACCCGTAATTTTTAACAACACATCTCTGCCACACATACACAAAATACGTGTTACAACCTACCAACTTAAAAACCTACAAATAAATACACAAAATAACCTCTAACTTACCACCCCAAACCCAATGGCCTATATCGCCGTGGATTCCCCTAATAAATATATATAAAAATATATATCTTTTGTTGAGTGAACTCAGAAACAAAATACTATGTAGTCTAAAATAATAAGTAACTTTGTATGGTATAAAGGTATTTTCCTAGAATAAAGTACTCTCAAGAAAAATATAAGGATTCAAGTTCTAAATAAATTAATGTTTTAATCAAATATCCTAGGTAGGTATCTGTTTTTAAATGAATTACTCACATGACTTGATGATATCCTCTTACTAGTTAGTGTAAATTGACCTATCATCAGATTTATAGGTAGGAATATTATCCAGGACCCACTTAGGTATAGAACTTTGAAGTAAATTATGAATTTATGAGTTTTATAGGTAATTTAAATTCCTTTATAAATAACTTACAACCTAAAATGAACGCACATCATTATATAATTTATAAGTAATAGGGATCAGATATATTAATCTAAATTTAAATAAAAAAACAAATGTTAAGTAATTTTCATTTTTAGTAAAATGATTAAAACTAATCCATTTTTTTATGGTAAAGTTATGATTAATAATTCAGTAAGATTTCATTATTTTAAATCGACGACTAAGATAATCATTTTACTTCTGCATAATTTTTGGTATTTGTTTTTCAATTTAATATTGAATAATATTGTAAATTTGTATAAAATATCTGTATGAATTATCAACTCATTTTTTCGATGCGATAATATTATAGCCTTTCCGTACCTGTAGGTCAATTAAGTAAATATATATTATTATTATTCGTTCGTGAGTAACGATATTAAAAAAATATATAAAGTAGAAACTGAATCGTATATATGTGACAAAAACCTACAATACGCCAAGGTAATTAAAATATACATAGAAAAATAAAACTTCAATATGTTTTAAATAGGTGTATAAAAATTATAAAGTAGATATTATGTTCATTATTCTCTAGAAAGTTGAAACGTAGAGAACGTTAGTTAAGAAATACAATTATTAAAGCACAACTTAAAATCACTGATATGTGTTTATTTTAGCAAATGTCTGTAACTTATTCATGTGAATATTAAGTTCATAAGTGGCATTTGTGGTGTATAGTAAATGATAATATTCGACAATGCATAAAGGCATTCACGTATTCTWTCAAGTACCTACTTATATTTTTATAATACGATTATTGGAACAACCTAGTCATTAAATGTACTCAAGTTTTGTAAGGGGATGGGGTGTCTAGTATATATAGCACGGTTTATAAAAATTAAACACTTAACAGGATTTTGTTTTGATTGAGGGAAAATCGTATTTGATTGTTAAAAATAATTCTAAAATTTAAAGATTATCATTCAATTTTCCTGAGATTTGATTAAATTTTTTTTTAATTTCAGATTGTTAGGGTATTTATTCCTCTACACGCTAATACAACTTACRGAGATTAGATAAATGTGTTGTCTTTGATATTTACAAACTTGCGTTTGTCTAATAACACCTACCTACGTATTTTTCACATAGAAAAGCCAATAAAATATAAAATATAATTTTTAAATTGTTTAGGAATAATTTAGAATACGATTTAATTAATCTATTTGAGCATATACGTAAACTACACTAATTCAGATAAGATACAAAGACGGTGGCATGTCACTTTTCCCGCTTCATGTTAACAATGTTATTTTATGTTATTTTGATTTCAAAACAATATACAATTGTACTTATATAATATCATCACATATCACATTAACGATTCTTAGTTGAGCTCATACAAAATCTCATCGCTGACATTTCGTAAAAGCCACGTTTATTGTTGACAACATATTCGACGATTTTCGGAGGGCTTCCTCGCACTCGCAAAAACTATTGAGAAATTTAAATTAAATTTTCAATTTATWAATAGAGTCTGCAATACATTTTTGATCATTATTTCCAAACAAAATATTATTTCAGAAAACATCATTATAAAAACCAATACTTTTTTGCTTTACTCAGAATTTTAATTTTCTACGCTTAAATATACATTTTAATATTACACATAATAAACGTTATCAAGCATGCGTATAGGTGTGTGTATAAAAACATTAAAAACTATGTGTTAATGATTCTAATATAATAACCTACCTATGTAARTAAAATAGTTATTGATTTAAAGTGTTTTATATTTCTATATTTTAAAGATAACATGACATCTTACGATTAAAATTTGTTGTATTTAAACTAAAAAAAAAAAAAATAAATAAATGTATAAAATGCTTTCTAAAGAGTATTAATCTTGATGTTGTTTTTGTGTCTCGCCTCTATATTAGTCAATGSGGGAGTGAGGACACATACACTTATTTGTATAAAATATTGTATATTATATTAATCTTCCTCTATTAAAACTTTGATGAAATTTGTATTAATTTTAAGTTTTTACTTAACAAATTGTAATTGTATAAATTGAGCGATCTGTTTATCAAATGCAAGTTGAAAAACTCAGATTATAAGATAATAATAACATTTTTCTTTTTACTTATGTAAAAGTGATTAAAGCTATTAAAAATGTTTAGAAAACAATTTTCGAGGATTAATTTTTAAAATTTTAGCCTCGATGTTGTTTAAAGGTAATAATTATAATTACATAAAAATGGCAGTTATTAATATTTTTGAAAATTGCTATTTTAGTGTAAGGATGTAACTTCCAGTTTTTTTAAATTAAAACTCTGCTTTTAAAAGCAAAACAAAATAATAATGAATACCTATGTAGTACGTAGTATGTACGTATAAGTAATGTGATAATAATATTATAATACTGTATCTTCTGTACGATTTAATTGTAAACAATATCTAAATAAGTAGTAAATCTACAGTAAAATATAACTAAATAACTTAATTTATCAGAATTCAACTGGATGAACCAATACATTTGAAATTTAGATATTAATATGAAATGAATAGCTTCACAATATATGTATAATGGCTTATTATGTAGTTCGGTATATTTTAAGTACTTAATAGAGTAATATTATAGTATCGAGCGTTATACTATAATATAACACATCTCGATTAAGTATAAAAAATTATGTTAATATCATAAATAATAATCATATGATTTAAATTTATATTATTAATTGATAGGCAACTATTAAACATTAATCAATAAAATAATTTTTTTTTTAACTCCACATATTTTAATTTTGATAGATTGGTAGATATGCAATTTTAAATTTAAATGTCTTTAAGCTGTGTTTAACTTTAYATTCTTTCACAATTAATATGTTTATAAATTATTAATTTAAAAACAAAAATGATTTGTTTCAATTAATTCAATCCTAATTCATTATTTATYAAATATTTCTTGTTGTAAATATAAAAAAAATAAAAAAATAATAATACAATGCTGCTATTACATGAACGTAGGTAACTGCCTACACGTCAGTAATTTATAATATAAAAATAATTATAGTAATAATTTAATTATTTCTATTATCAYAAAATATGTAGAGCCAAATCATAATTAGCGCAATACAAACAAAACATTTATATATATATTCYTACTAATGTAAAATCATGAAATCAGATAAAAGAACGTAATAATAAATATTAACTGTAGGTAGTAATTCTACTTGTGATGTTCTACCAAACAAAAACATATTATTATAATAGGCAGACACATTTTAAGCAACAGGCTGTAAGTGATAGAGTGTATCGCGAGCGTAATATATTATGTAGAAAGATTTAAAAATTATAGATACGTGTTACTCTACAGATATCTCGAGCTTCGGTAAATCACGACAATATTACCGATTGTGCGGTGTTTATATTGATTCTGTCTATTTTAGTGGCCCGGGTATTTGAGGTAACTGAAGAGTAACTGTTAAATAAGAATGGTCGTGTTGGAGAGTGTTCGATATGGTAGCGATCAGATAGGAGGTATAGTGGGTCCGAAATGAATTTGGACAGCAGG